TACCAGTGTAAGTTTCTAAGTTGTCGTTATATACCAGTGTAAGTTTTCTAGGTTGTCGTTATATACCAGTGTAAGTTTCTAAGTTGTCGTTATATACCAGTGTAAGTTTTCTAGGTTGTATTTATAACTCTCAGTTAATTTATATTTAAAATTTGTTTTAAGTGTAACAATATGTTGAATGTGATTATTTTTGCGTGTAAGTGTATGTTTCTATAACTCTCAGTTAGTTTATATTTAAAATCTGTTTCATGTGTAACAGATTTTTTGGTTTTGTTTCTATTTAGTCTGTATTTAAAATCTGTTTTAGGAAAACGTGGCCTGCTCCCGTACAAACACGCCTTTTTTGTGGAGAAAAGAAAAGAGAACAAAACCTCGAAAAAAAGAATTCTATTTTATGACTAAAGGAAACGTTATTAGTTACAGCATGTAAATAATGTTCATACCTATACTAGCGTAAAGAAATTCTCTATTAAAAATGCCCTGTTGTGAAATTTGTTTTGAAAAATTTTGTTAACTATTAATTTAGTTGATTATCTGTCCGTTTTTCATGATAATTATTATTATTGTTATTATGTTTCTTCGTTCCCAATCTCCAACAAGAACGGTGTGATGATCTGTAAGTGTAGTTTGTGGTGTTTTATTGAACCCAATCTCCAACAAGAACGGTGTGATGATCTGTAAGTGTAGTTTGTGGTGTTTTATTGAAATGATGAAGTAATCTTCACGTATATTGTTTACTAATATTATTTTGTATTGTATATATACACACATACTTTCAAAAAGAAACTATATGTATTGAGTATCGAGATTCGCGCCCTTTTGATTTTTATAATACAGGGACTTTTAAATCCAGTGCTTTTGTATAATGAGCAAGTTTGAGACGTATAAGAATCTTGTTTGTTTGTTGCAAAGCACAAAGCTACACAATAGGCTGTATGTGCTCTGCCCACTGCTGGTATTGTAATCCGACTTATCGCTGAACCACAAGGGTGAAAGGCTTCGTTTGTAGTCAAGCGCAAAGCTACACATTTGGCTATCTGTGCTGAACCCACAACGGGTATCGAAACCCGGTTTCTACTGTTATAAGTCTGAAGACTTATCGCTGTGCCATTGGGGGCAGGGTGGGAGGCGTGTAAAGACATAAATATATATACATATTCCTTTCACAAAATGTCTCTTTCTGGGTAGCAAACAGACAGCCAATAAATAAATATTAGATTATTTGTAACATAACGAAAAAAATATTAAAAAAATAAATAAATAGCAAATTCAAGACAAAAAGAGCTAAGCTAATACTACATTTAACTTACTTAAGACTAGAATTTTTTCTCACGAACACAGAAAAAATTATACAAATTAACTAGGTTTTCAAGATTACACGTTTTTACATTTATGTTCTAGACTATAACATGACGTGCTATCATTTATGTGATTTAAACTTTCACTATACATATATTAAACCACATCCGAGACTTCTAGACGAACTTGCATTTTGTTATAAATAATAAATACAAGAACAAATTTTAGTCATGCGGCTACAATATATTAAATAAACACGTTTTATACAGTTCAATTTGTCATCAAAGATCATTTTGTACAATCCATAAACACTTTGTCAACTTAAAAAGTATTACTCAGTAAGCCTCCTTGCGTGTGTTCATGTATTAAATAACCACGAATTATTCATTGCTAATTTTGTTTCTTCTTCTTCAGAGTTATCGATAAGGGCTCTTTTGAGCAAATTATTATTTATATACTCTTCTTTTTCAGGATCAAAATGCTCTTTTTGACTCATAAAGAACTAAAGTCTACTATTTAAAAGCAATTTCAGTATCTTTACTATTTTCTCTAAGATTTCCTGTCATTCTTGTCTCCGTTAGGACTAAATGCAAATAAGAATATGTTATAACATTCCATACCACACATTGTTTGAGAATCTCGTAACCTTATTCAAAGGAGAACGCTTTATTATTGATTTAAACACGAGAGTTTTTTTTGTGTGTGTGATTATTTCAACGCAAAGCTATGCAATGGCTATATGCGCTCTATCTACTGCAGGAAATGAGCCTCGGATTTTGCGTTTTAAGTCCGTATACTTACCGCTTTCCTAACAGGGGACAATACGAGAGAGAGGCCACATAAGGGGATTATTTATAAATTACCATTTGACTTGTGTTTAATCTAAACTCCTTATTATTGTTAGAGATCAAAGTTAATTTTATGGATAAAAAGTAAGGGCCAGAAAAAATGGTCATTTTGATTTTTTTAATGTGATAGATTTTCTTAAATAACTTCACCTTTTGTACTTTAACACCAGCAGTACACGAGCTACTGCTGGTCCAAGTAACATAGCTGTTATAGCACACTTGGGGCTTCAGATTGAAAGCTAGGATTCTAAATAACCACCTTTTTACCTATTGTTTTGTTTTTGTCAACTAGAATAAAAATTAAGAATTAAATATTCCCTTCAAGTAGTTGATTATGTTTATTCAAGTGATATTCAAAACTTGAATATATGAAGATCTTGCTTAAAACTTAATTCGAAAATCACTTAGGCACAAAAGTTATTAATTAGGCCTATTAAGAAATTATACCGATAAGGAAGTTTTAGGCCTAGTATGAAATTATACTGTTAAAGAAGTTTCAAGACTAATAAACAATTATAGCATTAAAAGTAGTTTCAGGCATAGTAACCATTATACCGTTAAGGAGGTTTTAGGCCTGGTAAGAAATTATACTGTTAAAGAAGTTTCAGGCCTAGTAAGAAATTATACCGTTAATGAAATTTCAGGCCTAGTAAGAAATTATACCGGTAATGAAATTTCAGGCCTAGTAAGAAACTATACCGTCAAGCAGAAAGATTTATTGGTAATATCTTGTAGCGATAAGCATTAGAATTTCTGTCCTTTAGTTAAAATAATGAAACAGCTTATTCTAAGTAAAATGAAAAACAAAGGATAATGTCAAAGTCTCTGAATATTAAGGACAATCACGTAGTTACTTTTATCTGGTAATTCTCATGAAACAATTCGAGTGAATTAAAAAAAAGTGGTTACTGAAATTGAAATCAAACCGTTTAGCGCTTCTGTTTAAACTCTTTGGAGCACAGTAGTTTGAAAGCTTGGTAAAACTTGCTTCACAAATACAAATGGAGTACAAAACAACAACAAAAAAACACTTCGATAACTTCTTAAAATGTTCAGTAAGAAGTACATATTCAATTATAATATTAAGTATAGTCGGCAGCAGAAGTTTCGAATAATTTTAGATGACTATATTACACAGTGCTCAAATCGTGAAAAACTAAGCAGGGGTATGACATATGACAGGCCTCAATGGGTGGACTCAAAAATCCCGGTACGCACTTTATAAGAAGAAAAAAGTGTTGGTATGGATAACTTTGATTTTAAGAAGTGAGGGTATGCCACACCCCCGTATACCCCTCTCACTTCGAGCATGATATTAAATAGGGGAAAATATATCAAAAGTACTAATTTCAAGTTTGCTGGCTGTGTGTGAGGGTTCATATCTCAAGATCGAAAAAAATCACAGTATTGTTATATAAGGTACGTTAGTTAACTCCTTAATCTCACAGTATCAGCAGCGAACGGCGCTGCGGTTCCTGACAGTCACGTGACAAAAACCTTGTAGCAAACTCTAAAGTACAACCATCACGAGAAAATGGAAAGGCTAAAACACCACATTTTATAAATACCAGAATCTCTGCTAACCGGATAAGGAACAACAAGCCTTAAGCTCGGAGAAAACATCAGTGAAAAAAGCAGGGTCGCTGTTAATACGTAACATTTTAGCACTGAGTAATTTGATAATTAACAGCGACCTCTCCCAGAACTTATCCCTATTTTGCTCAATAAGAAAAGGTTTTAAAGGGTAAGATATTTCGTTTCCCATATACGAGTAAGAGAAGTACAAGCATGTTAGAACAATAGCTTGAAGTTCTCGTCGACTTTCGATATCTTCTGTAAGAATTTCTCTGACTAGCATGTACAAAAACACAATGTTTGCTGGGTTTATGAAGGCAATGTCCTGCCACCCTTTAAGAAGAAGAGAACGGTCCACTGTACGAAGCCACAAGATGGCGTCCCCACCTTTAAAATCTCTTAATTTTCGGCAACGACGATACAAAAACTCTCCGAAGCATCGAAGCAGTTCCGATGTTGATGCTTGAATGATAGTTCTTCTTCGCATCCCAGGGACTGATGCTGGTCTAGTTGGTGCCTCAAAACCCTGCTGATGACTGTAGTACACAGGGCGAATTAAGTTATGGGCAGTCAACACGGTAGTGGGCTTGGGTGGAAGAGGAGGGCCATTCTTCTGGAATCGTTTCTTTTCTTCTTCGATATTATTGTTTACAAATAAATCCAGTGGGCTTACAGTTCTAGTTTTAAGATTGTAACACGACAAAGATTTCTGGATGTTCTTGTTGTTGTCCACTAACGAGTCCATGTTGTCCAGATGATGACGAGAAGTAAAGTTTTTGTTCTTGTCCGTCTTTTTCTTCCCAGATACATTAAAATTCTTCCAGTTAAGAGCATTAATAAACAGAGAGTGCCTTTTAGTTTGATTTACGTTATTGTGCATGTTGCTGTTCATAATTTTCTCTAAAGATTTTTCTTTGTTCTTGAAGTTATTCAACTGTTCTTGGTTGAAATGATTTACCTTGTAGACAGGTCTTTGTTCTCTCGGAGCAACACTGAGTACTGTACCCATATTTACATTAAAAAAAAAAGAATTTTACAAATAATCACTTACTGATCACAATAGTAGATGTAAGGCTTCTGCTGTTTGAATGTTCGCACAGTCGCACTAAACAAGATGGAGGACGGACGGCGCCATCTTTTCGTTAGTTATTGCTTATAAGAACTCGACATAAAAAAATTACTGAACCCTAGCCTATATAAAAACTGCTCTTCCTATTTTTTTATCACTTGGAAAGATAAAACAAAAACTTCATTAGCCCAAGTAGTAAGCAAAGCTAAGCTTGTGAACGTGCAGATTTCTGACAGTCGTTTTTCTCCCCAGTTCGATCAAAAATGAATTCACTTAAGGTGGTCGTTATAGCAACGGTATACAGAGACTGCGTGAAAGCGGTCTTCAATACCGGTGATGTCATCAAGCTTGTAGTCCCGCTTCTACAGTTCTGTAGGACGTAAGGAAGAGTTCATTATCTGTTTATCTTCAAAACGGGCAAGTAATTACTTGTTATACGTCGTTTTTATAGCAATACGGAGAAGTGATTTAGTGCCTAAACAGTTAAGAACACACATCAATCCAGGAATGGCACAAGTATTTGTAACTGGAAAATATAGAATCACTCTATAAAATTGGGATTGCATATGGTTTGTCTTGGTAAGAGATAACCACCACTTTATATTCACACTATTTTTAAATAGACTTTTCTGTGTAGCTTATGAAATATTATCCCACGATTTTTATTAGTTTTCTTAGGCACAAATTTACACTGTGTTTTAGAAGTACAGGTCGCACTGCTCTCAATGCACTCCTCCCTCAGTGGTAAGCCTGAGAACTTATTACGTTAAAAATCGGGTTTCGACACCCACAGTAGGCTCAGAACAGATAGCCCATTATGTAGCTTTACGCTTATCAACAAAAACACACAATACTCTCATTGTATAGTAGGAACACAAAAAGTAGTTCCTAAAATATAATCGTTGTTAAAATGTCTTGGAGAATCAAAATGTCCAACCCTAAGAAACAGTCGTCAAAGACTTCCACAATGCATATTTCAGTTTGTTTTTAGCACAAAGTTATACAATAGGTTATCTATGCTGTGACCACCACCTGGTATCGAAACCCGGTTTTTCGCGTTATGAGTTTTCAGACTTGCCGCTGGGAAGGTAGATATTAAAAGGTTTGTCATAAAACCAGTGCAGTATTTCAGGTAAGACGGGGCGGGGCAATGCCTCTCCCTCCCCCCATGTCTAATAACATTTGTTTATCCCGGGATCGACACACACACACACTTTGCACTATTAAATGGTTTATATATCATAAACTATTTATATTTATTATGAGAAAATGCTCAGAAAATAGACCGATTTTAACCCTAAAAACCATCCAGGAGACTGACCTCCAGTAATAGTTGGCCGCACATTCAAACCTGAAATAGAAGTTGTTGTTTGTAGTTAAGCACAAAGCTACACAATGGGCTATCTGTGCTCTGCCCACCACGGGTATCGAAACCCGGTTTCTAGCGTTATGAGTCCACAGACATACCGCTGTGCCACTGGAGGGCACCTGAAATAGAACTCCTGTAGTTTTGTAAGAATATTTCGATTCAAGTTGTGAAGATAAATCACCAAAACTTCAACAAGAACAAAATATGAATAAATCCCAGAATTTTCTGTTTAAAAATAAATAAAAAATCGAAACACAACATAAAGAAGAGATATCAAGAACGTAAATTTTTGTTAAAGGTAAAACGGACAGATTTTCTGTTCGATAACACAAATGAAAAGTTGATAGCAATAAATCTTCAGCGATATTTACCTCCGTATCTAATCCTGATTCTCAAGAAACTTTAGTAAAATTTATTAGCATTAAATCATTTACGACTAGATGGCATGAAACTTATAACTTAAATTCTGTTTGTTTGTTTCTTTTTGAATTTCGCGCAAAGCTACACGAGGGCTATCTGCACTAGCCGTCCCTAATTTAGCAGCGTAAAACTAGAGGGAAGGCAGCTAGTCATCACCACCCACCGCCAACTCTTGGGCTACTCTTTTACCAACGAATAGTGGGATTGACCGTCACATTATAACGCCTCCACGGCTGAAAGGGCGAGCATGTTTGGTGTGACGGGGATTCGAACCCGCGACCCACTGATTGCGAGTCGAGCGCCCTAACCACCTGGCCATGCCGGGCACCTTAAATTCTGAAAAGCATGGCACACACCTGTACCCTCGGGGCAGCCTATTGAACTATCGGAATAGGTCTCATAGTTAGATATGAACTATAGTTTGTTGTAAAAACGATTTGATGCACCAAAGTGTTCGTTACTTGTTTGTTAAAAAAGCAGCGTGAGTAACAGCGAATTAACCAGTTTAAAATTCAAATCATTAAACTCAATAATATGAACAAATTATTTATTTATATATAAAAAGCTTCCAGTAAAAGTTATTTTTACAATTAGTTTATCCTGCAGTAATATATCAATACAGTATTTTCTAATGACATAGCTACACAAACTCTGTAGCCTTTAGGTATTTTATTCATATTTTTTCGGAGGGAAGGTTTTTATTTTATTTTTTAGTGATGAGGGATATTCGAGTCCCGAAGGTTCAGTATGACTATAAACATGATCTGATTGTATTCCCCAATTTTTTAAATTGTTCTGAAATAGTGCAAAAGAATTATAGTATAAAGGGGGAAGCTTCCCCCTTATTTTTGGAATGAAAACCCCTTACTTACGATTATTTGCTTGTCTTCATTGGAACGTAAGGGTTAAGTTGATATGGATCTCCACATTGTTAGGTAACACGATTATACTTGTCAACACGTGATGTAATTATAAGAACTTATGATTGAAAGTAATGACAATCGTATAAATAAATATGAATAGAACTCTAGTTAACAAGGGGGACCTCTGAAATCCTCTCACAGATACACGTGGTATTTGACAGTCAGTTTTTATCTTTCTTTAAAAACGTTAAAAACCATTACACAATAAAATTATTATATTCAGTGCCGACGAGGCCTTTCGCTCAATACCAGGGTTGAACAGTCCGGCAAACACAGTAAAGGTTGAGACGCTATTTATAGTACTATATTACACGAACAATAGCTGTTATAGTAAGTAGGTGACATGTAATTGTTATCAATTTACAAACTGGGATTAGGATAAGGATTAATAACAGTATAGTATTTTAAGTTGATAACACGTGTATATTAATCCAACTATGATGCTACCCGTAATGTAGGCTAGGATCAAGATCAAGGCTATGACTTGATGTATGATTACACGGAATACCTAGAAATTAACAGGATTTTCCTCAAGCGACTTGGAACGACTGTATGTATGTGTTGCTCTCACAAAGAAAAGTTGGACTGAATAGGACACGTGAAAGTGTCGAAACTTGTTTACATACAAATTTCTTGTTCAGAGAAAAGTATACAGAAAGTGGTTCTCAGTTGCCAGGTTACCACTTACAAGATCGCGTCATATCTTCGTTTTTATCTCCTGTTAATGTTTCTTCATATGATTTAACGTTAGAATTAAATTATTTAAAATATATCGCGCTTGATGAACCTGATACTGGAGATAGGATCTATAAGAAATATTATAATAAATTTATATATTTACCAAACTACAGACAATAAGGAAATAATATGTTTGTTTGTTTGTTTGAATTTCGCGCAAAGCTACACGAGGGCTATCTGCGCTAGACGTCTCTAATTTAGCAGTGTAAGACTAGAGGGAAAGCAGCTAGTCATCACCAACTTTTGGACTACTCTTTTACCAACGAGTCGTGGGAGG